TGATTTCCAGAAGCCTCATGTGGCCTACTTTTTCTTTTAGATGATGCAGAATTTGCTGTTGGAAGAAGGAGGCCTGGTTCAGGTGGAAAGTGTCAACCTTCAAGTGGCCACATACTCCAAATTTCAGCCTCAGAGCCCTGACTTCTTGGACATCACCAACCCAAAAGCAGTGTAAGAAGGGTTCTTCTGGACAAAAGAGGGGTTTGCTGGCAGACGGTCCACAGGGCGCTTCGCTGAGCGTGTGCCTACTTTGAGGAGCACATATTTATTGTGATTGGCATTGTAATTTGAGAATAATGACGTTCAGCCAGCACATCTGCCATGACTCCTGGACAGTGTGCTAGACGCTCTGTGGGCCTCTTCTGTATGTTCTCGGTGTACTTCATGGGCAACGTGGAACCCTTCCTGCAGGTGAACTATGACACCTAGCCCCAAGCCCAGTGTGTTCTGGTGGAAGGGAGCCAGGGGGTCTGCCTCTCAGCTCCCAAGCCTCTGGTGCCCATAAACTTGCCACTCAAGCTTAGGACTTTTCACTCCAAACCAGTGGGGAGCATTGGTTTAGTTTTCTTTCTCTTAGCAAGAGGAAAGCAGAGGTTTTAGGTTCTAGTGATTGTGTGTGTGTGTGTGTGTGTGTGTGTGTGTGTGTGTGTGTGTGTGTTCTCTGAACAATAGCCAGACGTTCGTGTTTATAATTTAAGGAGTGACCATTGTGGGTGAGGGATGTGCTGTGTGTGTGGACTACAATAGCTTGGAGGCCCCAGTTTGGCTCATTGAAGTCATGTGATAGAGTGGTCACTCTATATCTCCTATTTGTTTTTTAAAATGCATGTTTGAAAAAAATACAGATAAGTGGACAGTAAAAGAAAGCTGCCTCCACCTGTCTCTCTGCACTCTTCCCAGGCAGGAGCTCAGGAGCAAGTTGCTGACAGTCGTGTCCTATGTGGGTGGGCATGTTAAACCACCTACTGACTGTCTGTGGACTGACATGTTGAGCCATTTACTGACTGTCTGTGGACTGGCGTGTTGAGCCCCTTGCAGCTGGGTCCTGGACATGCAGGAGTGCTAGGCTCTGCTCACGACAGTCAGTGTCCTGTGGCAAGGTCTGGTCCCTTTCATTCAAAGCTCTGCTTGGAGGTGCTTGTCTGACTGTCAGTGCCTAGGAGTGAGGCCTGCATCTGACCATAGCCCCTCATGATTTTCTCTGGATTTTTACATTTTTTGCAATGCGTACTTACTGGATTGCTTTCAGAAGCAGTTTCTCCCGTAGAAAGGGCATTACTTTCATCAGCTAGAGTCAACCCAATGCTCCCTAGTCTGGCTGATCGTCTGGATAAAGGAAGTCAGCATAGAGCAGAGAATGTGGGGGTGCCCAGAGCAGTGATGGGAAAGCCATTTCCATCCTCAGAGGCCGATTGGTTTGGGTCTGACAACTCGGGTCCTCAGGAGGCGTCAAGGTCAGGGTACTCCTAAAGCATGGCATTTCACGGAGGAATGAAGACAGCATCCCACACAAGGCCCTTTGCGCAAAGTTGCTGTCACCCTGGAAGGATTTGTCACCAAGAAAACTGAACCTAGACAGCCTGCCTTTTCCCCCCCTCAGACTCTGAGAGCCTCGCTAGGACAGCGGTTGCCAACTGGTGGTCCGTGACGTCCGAAAGGTTGGCGACCGCTGCTCTAGGATGTGCCATGTCACCGTGGTGGATTCTGGAGCTATCGTTTATGTTTATGCCTTGACAATGTGTGTCTGCAGATTAGAAAACGCATTGAGAAACTTTGCCTGTCTGACCACTGGGGATGTGATTGCCATCAACTACAATGAGAAGGTAAGTGTGTCGGCTATGGGGCCAGCAGGGCCAAGAGCCCAGCTCAGGGCAGGTCACACCTAAACGGGGCCTGCAGTGCCATTCTGGTGTTTGAATGGGGTTCTTTTTAAGCAGTGTGTACCTGACTTTTGTCCACTAATTGCTGCCTACCGTTTGCTTTTTAGAGCCCTATACTAATAATTCAACAGCTAAGTTTTGGTAATTGATTTATTACATTAATAGGTGAATAAGCTTAACATTGTTATCCTTTTGTTTTGTTAATACTCACCCAAGGATAGTTTTCCTTGACTTTTTTTAGAGAGAGTGGAAGGGAGGGTAGAGACAGAAACAGTGGCGTGATAGAGATTGGTTGCCTCCCACATGGGCCCTGACCAGGGCGTAAGGTATGTGCCCTTGACCAGAATTGAACCCAGGTCCATTCAATCCTCAGGCCGACACTCTATCCACTGAGCCAAACTGGCTAGGGTTTGTTATACTTATTAATCACATATCTGTGTATCATGGTGGTGAGCCTGCCAATTATGCCTCAGTTAGAAAGGTCTGCATTGCACCTAAAATCTCAGATAAGCCCTTTGCTGGGCTGTCAGGACACAGAAATGAGCCAGTCTAGGCCCTTGTCCTTATGATTCCCTCCATTGGAAGCAGACAGGCCCTCGTGGAGCTGGCCAAGCGGTGCGCTCCAAGTGCTGTGGGGCACCTGGAAGCAGAGCCTGACTACATCCTCTTCCTTATGTTTTCTTTCACTTTGGTTTTCTCTTAGCTCCTCTGGGCTTGTCCATCTTGACACAGTCTTTCAGATCTGAACACCACTTATATTCATCTATGATTCCATGCTTTTTAGGTGTCTGGATCTAGACAATTTAGATGTAAAGTGAAATACCACACTTCATCTTTCATTTCTCATTCTTTAATGCATAGTGACAGATGAGTTCCCATGAATTCAAGACAGCATTCACTTACCCGTTATTCATGGAAACATGTCTGAGGAAAGATAAAATAGTTGCCAACCCTATTGATAGGCCATCCTAACACAGGCATGGAGCACAGTGATGTGAGTACCTCATGTCCACTGTGACAATGACCAGGATTGACCCTCTCAGAGTTGCTGTCAGGTTCGACCACCTAGTCCTCAGGAGTGACCAATCCTGGCGTGCCTTTCCCTGAGGCCAGCTCTTAACTCCTTCACACACTCTCTTGTCCCCTCATGGCCTCGGGTCCTCGTGCATGAACAGGATCCTGTGGCTCAGCCAGTCCCTTCCTGTAGCATCAAGAGGACACTTACTCCCTTGGTGTCAGTGTAGGGATCCAGTGTTCTCCAGCAATTTCCTTCTATTTGCAGAACCCTTACTATTTGAGAACCCTTACTTTTCAATTTATGGGTCTTAAATCACAATTTTCTATAAAACTAAGAAATGATCCTATTGCCTTTAGCTTTGTGGGGAACATTTTAAGTATTGTCTACATTAACTGAATACTTTATAAGCTTCCATAATTAATTGCAGGTAGCCTTAATGTTATTGTTCTTTATTAAGGTAGTAATGCTAAATATAACTAAAATGATGATATTTTTTTCACTGAAAGGGAAGGTGAGTTACATAGAGTTTGGAAATATAGAAGACTAGGTACTCTAAAGGGCCCTTCTGATAAAACCCAGTTTAATCAGGATAAAACCTAGGTTATAAATGTGTTGGTGGATTGGCAAGAAATATAAGAAGTTTTCAAGAATCTCTCAGCAGGGCCATCCTGATGGCAAATGACTGTATCAGTCAGTGATATAGTAGGAGATCTGAATCAGAGACTTCCACATTAAACTGGAACTCTTAAAGGGGCCATAATAGATCCAGAGGTGGGTGTTATCCTCATCCCAAAAGAAGGAACTCAGATTCTGTTTGGGAAAGGCCCCCTGTTTATATAAGCCCCCAGGACCGCTAAAGATTGAACAAGCAAGCAGGAACTCATAATACACCCACCAGACACACAAAGCAGAGACAACAAAAGCAGATTTAAGGAAATCAGCATTGGGATTTTCAGGTGTAAATATGAAATAATTATGTGTAAAATATTCAAAGAAATTAAAAAGTGGAATTATAAAATTTATTAAGCAACCAAAGACTACAAAAGAAAAAAAAACAGGAAGATTTTAAAAACGAGTTAAAGAATAGCTGACAAAGAATTAATGAAATTAAAGTTAAGTCTGAAAAAGTGACTTAGAATTCTGCACTGAGAGGCAAGGATAGAACATATGAGAGCTTGAGGTTTGGAGATACTAAGAAAGTCAAACATGCTCTGTAAAAGTCCCAGCAGGAGAGAATAGGGGAATGGAAATACTGTAAAGAAATAATAAGTGAAATTGTTTTACAAGTGGCCATCAGCCCATAGTTACAGGAAGTATGATGTACATCAAACAGGAGAAGTTACAGATATCAAATACCAGATACAGGGAGGTGAACAGAGAGAAAATACGATACTTCCAGGAAAAGAGCAAGTAGCAACCATTTGTAATCCCCAAGTAGCAGAATATCTTTAGAGGTTGAGAGAAAGTAATTCACCAAACCTTCTTTAAAGAATGAGGGCAACCACAAGACTTGAAACCAGGGGGGCAGTGGGCAGCAGCAGCTTGTCCCAGGCCCTGAACCAAAAGCAGTGTTGAAAAACAGATTTCGCCACTTTTAATGTATGTTTTTATGTACTTGAGATTATCCTAAACACACAGCAACATTATTGATTTAATTTCTTTTCTCTTGGCTACATTGTATTCCCCTGGTGGCTATAATTTATTTATATATGAATACGTTTTGGCTATATACTATTCTTAGCAATGTTGGAATGAGCATTCTTAGAGTTTTCTCTCTGCATATTTAAGCTAATTATTTACTTAGAATTAATTCCTAGGTGTATACATTCTGGGATAAGGTTATGAGTGTCTTTTCAATTTGGTTCATAATTCCCTTGTCTGATTTGAACTACTTTTAGGGAGTAGCTTCTGTTGAGTGATGTCCACCCCCATGGCCTCGTTGCAACAAGTTGTGTGGCTGAGGAAGGTGTTGTGGAGGTGAATGATGTGTCTGCAAGAGCCCAGTAGGGAGTCACAGTAACAGTGACAGTTCCCAGTGCTGCCATGAAACTAACCAACTGGTTTCTGTGTTCTTACAGATCTATGAACTGCGGGTGATGGAGACCAAGCCTGACAAAGCCGTGTCCATCATCGAGTGTGACATGAATGTGAGTAACTTGGCTGCTCATAGTGCGTTCCACCTGGGGGAGACGGGCATTTGGTAGCACCTGTAGGCCAGTGCCCCAAGAGGATGTCGCTGTCACACAGTCCCTAGGACTGTTTGGGTGAGAGAGGAGGAAAATGCTGCCAGAGCATCATGAGAAGGCCGCAGACCTTGTGATCCTTCTCAGGGACGGTGGAGGTGGCACAGTTGCCTCCAGTTCTGAGATGGCTAAATCTACTGGCATCTCAGACCTGCCAAGAAGTGCATCTTCTTAAACACTAAGGAAGCTCAATTTTTAAAAATATTTTTATTGATTTTAGAGAAGAAGGGAGAGTGAGAGAGAGATAGAAACATCAATGATGAGAGAGAATCATTGATCGGCTGCATCCTGCACGCCTCCTACTGGGGATCAAGCCTACAAACCCGGCATATGCCCTAGACCGGAATCAAACCCAGGACCCTTCAGTCCACAGGATGATGCTCTATCCACTGAGCAAAACCAGCTAGGGCAGGAAGCTCAATTTTTTAAAAAAGCTAAGGAAGGCTATCCAGCTCCTGAGTAGAAAGGAACTATTGGGACGCTCAATAGTTTGGTGGCTTTCCAAGACAATGATGCTGAGCAAAAAAGGGCAGTCCCAAATGGTTACAAACTGATTCCATTTTTTGTGTTTTTTGTGTGTGTATGTTAACCCTAACCTGAGGACATTTTTCCCATTGATTTTTAGAGAGAGTGGAAGGGAGGGAGGGAGAAAAAAAGAGGGAGAGAGTGAAACATTGATGTGAGAGAGGCACATCGGCTGGTTGCCTCCCACATGCGCCCCAACTGGGCCCAAGGATTGAACCTGCAACCCAGGTATGGGCCCTTGACCAGGAATCGAACCCACGACCCTTCGGTGCACAGGCTTATATTTGACCACTGAGCCACACTGGCCAGGGCTGATTCTTGAAATGACAATACTTCAGAAAGGGAGGACAAAATAGTGGTTACAAGGCGCCCTGGGTGGTGGAGAAAGTGGCCAGCAGAGGTGTGGATGTGGATGTGATGTAGAGAGAAAACATGAAGGGATCCTGTGGTGCTGGAACTGTTCTGCATCTCGACTGTGGGCCTACACTGGTGATAAAACTGTGAGAACTTACGCACATACACACACACGCACACACACACACAGTGAGTTCTTGTAAAACAGGAATTCTGAATAGTGTAGGTGTCGATATCCTGGTAGCGATATTATACTATAGTTTTGTAAAATATCACCATTGGGAAACTGGGCAAAGTGTACAGGGCATCGTTCTGTGTTAGTTCTTAAAACTGCATGTGAATCTACAGTTGCCTCAGTTACAAACAGAAAAGCTAAGGAATCCTAAGTGCCAGCATGTCTCTCAACTTTCCCTTTCGTCTTGGGAACGCAGGTGGATTTTGATGCTCCCCTGGGCTACAAAGAACCCGAAAGACAAGTCCAGCATGAGGAGTCCACGGTAAGTTGTTCCTCCCTCCCAGCCTGGCAGGTTTGGCCTCTTTGGTAATGGTTTTTGGGAGCGTGTCCTGGTCTGTCCTGACTCTGGGAGCGTGTCCTGGTCTGTCCTGTCCTGTATTTGGCCTCTACTGGTGCTAGTGTCGCCACATTCCCTGCTTTTCTCCCAGCCCTGCTCCCAGGGGATGGCCCAGCTGTTCCGGTGCAGAGACAGCAATAGAAATGAGGGGCCCAAGGGAAAAGTTGGGGTATCCCTGCTGGGAAGCTTATCTCTCATTTTTCTGTCCCATCAGGAAGGCGAAGCCGACCATAGCGGCTATGCTGGAGAGCTGGGCTTCCGTGTGAGTACCAGGCCACATGTTTTACTTCCTGTGCCCCTGCCGTGCCATCTGCTTCTCCCAGCCACTCTATAACGCTCCATGGACATCAGCAGGGATTGGGCCTCTGGGTATCTGCATACATGTATCTGCCACTCTGTCAGTCACATAGCACTTGACTTCCACGTTCTCATGGAATCTTCCTAACAAATCTGTAAGGCA